TCAGAAGCTTCTAAGAAAAAATTAATATTGTTATCTTTCCTTTGCCACTCATGTAAATTTTTTTTTGTTTTTTTTTTTTTGTCGGTCATGGGGCCTGAACTCTGGGCCTGGGCACTGTCCCTCAGCTCTTCAGCTCAAGGCTAGCTCTCTACCACTTGAGCCACAGTGCCACTTCTGGCTTTTTCCATTTATGGGTGCTGGGGATTCGAACCCAGGGCCTCACGCATGCAAGGCAAGCACTCTACCACTGGCCACCTTCCCAGCCCCTTCTCTAAATTTTTAAAAGCACTAAAAGCTAAATGGCTAGAACAGATTGTTTTGGTTTTGAGAGAACATGTATAGTTGGTGTTTGGGAATGGTTTCCTTTTATGAAGCTAATGCATACCTAAAAGGCATATTTTCATTGTTAATTGAATATTCTAGTTGCCATAGGAAATGATTTCATGTGTCATAAAAACAGTCAAAATAAACTTCACAACTGTTTTTATTACCTTTTCCTCCTATAACAAATCAATTTGAATTACTATTTAGGAGTCAGCATAGTTTGTGTTTATACTTATAGAAAATTGTGTTTACAATGACTTAAGAGCTTTTATACTTGATTAAAGTCTTGACATCTGAAGGCTCATCTTGTGCACCGCACAATATGTCGTTTCCAGAATGTTTCTTAACCTCAGCTGGCTGTCATCAGGAAGCCGTGGAGCAGACTGTCATGGCACTTCAGATGGACCGAGACAGCGATGTCAAGTATTTTGCAAGCATCCATCCTGCCAGCACCAAACTCTCTGAAGATGCCATGAGCACAGCTTCCTCAACCTACTAAAAACTATGAACCTTGGTGTCTGTGTCCACAAGAACCAAGGTTCGACCACTGAATGCGGGTCTGGGACAGCTGTGGGGGGAAGAAACCTTCCTCCCATTGACTTATCATAGGTGCCAGTTGCCTACACCTGATACCAGGGGTTTTAAGAGTCAAGAGAAAGTACAGTAAACACTATTATCTTATCTTGACTGAAGGGAAAGTAATTTCTCAGAGGATTGTAATCGTCACCAAAGCCTTAACTCCTTCGTCTTCCTGACTGAATGAAACTTGAATTGGCAAAGCATATTCCTTTTGGGAAGGATGAGGTTCCCAGAGACCTGCATTGCTTTCTCCTGGTTTTATTTAATGACTGATAAGTGGCATTCTTTGGCCAGAAGGCGGATGTGCACCTGGATATGAAAGACCTTCAGTATTAGCCCTAACCATTTCCTCTAGGCATGGATGTTGGGCTCTGGGGCAGGCTAGCCCAGCCCTAAGTGTGAATAGTTCTTGATGTGTGTAAATGGCAAAAGAGATTTGTTTTCTAAGGGCTTGATGCTAACACTAAAATAGAATCTGATTTTAACCCTTAAATGCAGCATATTGCTGTACACATTTACAGAATGTTTGCTGAAAATCTGTCCTTTTTTTTTTTTTCATGCTGGTCATGACCTGAAGGAAATTTCTTAGTACATATATGGTATGTCAGGAGTTTTTAACTTGATCATGGTCAGCTCTGAGGTGCAACTTTTTCTTCCCATGCTGTACATACCTGTGACCACTCTGGGAGTGTGCAGTCTTTAATCATGCTGTTAGAACTGTCATGGTACAAGTTCTCTTGTCCAAATAAAATTTATTAATAAGATCTATAAAGAAAGATATATACACTTTTGATTGTTTTCTAGATGTCTATGAATAAATGAAATATGACCTGTATTAATGACTTAGTATAAAGTGGGAAAACTAGATTAAAATGCTTCTTTTAACTAGTTTGAAGTCTTTGGAATATGCCTTTGTTCATTGGCTCAGTTCTACTCTTGCCAGCCAGCAGAGCCTACTGAAGTTTCTTCTGCAGCCCTGAGGACCAATGGGACAATCTTGTATATGACAGATTATATATATGTTCTTAGTGTATAACAACCTTGAGGTTTGTCCTAAAACTCCTGAGCTACAAGAGCATCCCCTTAGCCTCATCTATATCTTTATCTTTGCTGTTTCTCACAGGGCTGTTTGGCAGTTACACAAGATTATATGAAAAGGCCCTTTGGTAAAAGGCTATGTGTATAGAAATGGTATAGTGACCTCCTACAAGCTTGTGTGAAAAACCTCAGGCCTGGGTCCTTGTGCTTTGTGTTTTGGCTTTACTTAGCTGGCAAAGACTCCTCAGTGCATTAGAAGTTCCCTTGAACCTTAATGTGGCTTTCAGAAGCTTGTTTGCTTCCCTTTTAAACTGTTACAGATAAGCTTTCAGTTTGTTACTCTTACTTTATAACTCAGACCCCTGAGAACAATGTTCAGATGGATAATCTCTCCAAAAGCTGTACTTTTGAGTTGCAAATTCTGTTACTATAGTAGTACACTGCTGCCCCCTCAGCATTTTAGTCTCTACCAAGATTGAAAACTGGACTTCCAAAAGCTAGCACTGTGAGGCAATGTGGAAACAAAATTAGTTAGTACTTTTAATGTCTTAATGGAAAAAGAATTATTTCCCAAACAAAAACTAGCACATAAACATAAACTAGGGAATTAATCTTAGCAGATACTCAGGAATATTGAGTGGGTAGGTAGTAAGAGGAAAGCTGTACTTCTCATAATGACTTAGCTAGTGCTAAGACTTCTCTCCCTCAGTGCTCCCCAGAACACCTACCCATCCTCTTCCAGGACACAAGGGCCCCCTTCCCAGACCAGCCTGATGACCCCAAACCTGGGTACTTTCTGTGGTCTTTGCCACACTTCTTTTGACTTAGGAGAAGTTAGATGGTGTTTCCTGTATTCTTTGCTGACTCTCCCCAGCTACAGCTTACCAGACTTCCTGTTTGCCTGAAGCCCTTGCTTGGGGACTGTTTTTTGCATATGACCTTTTTGCTGAAATCTTGGTATCCACTTTTGTTTATCTCAAACCCTCTAACTCCAAATTGAGAGAACATGCTAACAGCTCAGATTGAAAGCCTTGATCATATGTGCTTTGGATGGGTCTTCAAGACTGCTGACAGGCAGGGTAGTCTTGATTCTCAAATGAGTTTGGTGAGGTACTACTTTCTATAAAGGGTGTCTTTCCAGGAGGGCATGGACTGCCCTCAGATGGCTGCACAGGGCAAGAGTGAACTACCATAAAGGTGACAAGGCTGTGAACTGGCTGTTGGAAGCTACCTCAAGAACAGTGTTGTTTCTGTGAAGTGTTTCAGGAGACAGAAGCAGTAAGCAAAGGGTGAAAAAGGGAGATTTCTGAACCATCAAAACCAGAGCGACATCCCCTCTAAATTTCATGCCAAAGAAGAAATTGTGTCAGGAAATAAATTTTTAAACATCCCCTCTAAATTTCATACCAAAGAAGAAATTGTGTCAGGAAATAAATTTTTAAAAAAGATTTAGGGCACCAGTGGTTTATACTATCATCCTTGGGAGGCAGAGATCCAAAGGATCATAGTTCCAGGCCAAAAGTTCCTAAGATCCCATCTCAATAGAAAAAGCTGAGCATGTTGGCTTATACCTGTTATCCCAGAAACATAAGGGAAACAGGAGTCCAAGTTGGACAAGACCTTATCAAAAAATAATGTTAGCAGCTGGACACTGGTGGCTCATGCCTGTAATCCTAGCTGCTAAGGAGGCTGAAATCAGCATCACAATTCAAAGCCAGCTGAGTCAGGAAAGTCCTCCATTTACCCACCAAAAAGCTGGAAGTAGAGCCATGATTCAAGTGGTAGACTATCAGCCTTGGTTGAAAAGGCTGAAAGGGATAATGCCTAGGCCAGTACTGGCATTTCCCCTCCCCCTCATAATAACCAGAGTAAAAAGGCTGGAGGTGTGCTCAAGTGGTAGAACACCTGTGTAGCAAGCCCTAATTTTTGAAACCCAGTACCACCACCACTTTTTAATTCATGATAAATCTTTACAGTTCTCATGTTGGATCAGCAGAGCAGGGACAGTAAGGGAGCTGTCATGTTAATAGGCCCTCAACTTTGCCTAGTCCTAAATGTCTAAATTACATGGTAGGGTCATATATGTTTTTCCCTAAAAGACCAGTATGTTTTATCCCAATGGAAAGTTTGAACTTAGCATTCTGTAAACAAAAATTCCCAGGTGGGCACTGGTTGCTCATACTTGTAATGCTAGCCATTCAAGAGGCTGAGATTTGTGGATCATGGGTTCCAAGCCAGCCTGGACAGCAAAGTTTGTGACACTCATCTCCAATAAACTATCAAAAAAAAAAAAAAAAGTGGAGCTGTGGCCCAAGTGGTAGAGAACTAGACCTGAGCACAAGACTCAGAGACAGCTCCCAAGCCCTGACTGGAGTTCAAACTCCAGGACCATCAATCTTAAAAAATTCCCACACTGACAAAGTAACAACACACTCTTCTGCAATGAATTCCACTAAGCCTGTTCATTGTCTGCTTCCTATAGAAAACTGTCACAAATTATCTTCAAAAATTCTTGGAGCAGGATCAGTGATCAGACTGTTTTAAGTCTGTGAGGTAGTTTGGAACATTGTTGATTTACGTTTGTATGTGTGCCAGCTATGGGTCTTGAACTCATAGCTTGTAGTATCCGTGAACTTTTTTGTTCAAGGCTAGCTAGTACTTGACTTGAGCCACAGATCCATTTCTGGCTTTTTACTGGTTAACTGGAGTTGAGATTCATGGACCTTTCTGCTCAGGCTGGCTTCAAGCCACGATCCTCAGATCTCAGCTTCCTGTGTAGCTAGGATTATAGGTGTGAGACATTGGCACCAGCTCAGGCTTTTAGAACACACTTGGTTATCAAATTAGGAAAGGTATTTCCTGTGAGCAGCTTTTTACTGTTAACCCATATTTATTAGATACAGGCTATTTAAGTAGTACATAATCCCGAGGAGCAGTCTATCCCCTTGCAGATATGGTGTGTACACTAAAGCTGCTGCCAGCTTTTCTTCCTGATCACTTATTAAAGTTTTTCTGAGTTTTCATTTTGTCTTGGTTCTCCAAAACAAAATCACAAGAGACAAACTTACATGTTTATTATTGATCTTAATTTCAAACAGAAGAGGATGTGCTGTGTTTTTACATGAAAACCCTACTATGATCAAGTTGAAGCCCAGGGACTCTACCTTTGTCCTCTGCAGGGATTCCAGGGAGATACCTGGGTGACATTCACCAGCATCCATCTATGTGATGTGCATGGCTGGCCACTAAGTTCCTGTATCAGCTTATATAGTTTTTCTTGTACACTGCAACATCTCTGTGGAAGCAGTTTTAGAACTGCTAAAGAACATTCAAGCAAATCATTGCCAGGTGCCAAGCTAATCACCAGAATTAAGCACTGGGAATACAAAGAGATGAAAGCCTGCTGCCTGCTGGAATGGCGCAGAAAGCCATTGTGGAGGACATGACATTGATGAAGAAATGGTTCAGAAACAAACTAGCATTCACTACAAATAAAGTTCTCTGCCACAGGTTCAAGTAGTCAGACTAGTCTAGCAGTGTCAAATTTCCATCAAAGAGAAAGTATCCATCATGTTGAAAGTCTGCGAGAGCCAGAAATTCAACAGTAGTACTTGTTGGTACTCCCTAAGAATCTTTATTTTGAAAGTGCTAGCAATTAAACCTGGCCTCTGACCTGCTAGCAAGCACTATCATATGTAGGCCATGCTACAGTCCTCTTTCTCTATAGTGTTTTTAAGTAATATAACAACTGGCCTTGAAGCACAATCCTCCAATCTCAGCCTTCCAAGGAGCTAGCATTACAGACAACCACCACACCTAGCCCATGTATGGAGTTCTAAGAGCACTCCTGCCCCTTCCTCACACTTCCAGCGTATCCTGATTTACAATGTACAACTGTTTTCTATGTGTACATCCAGAGACAAATGCTTACCTTCTCTACCACCTGTATAATACTAGTGTTCATCTAATTGCTTTGGGTGCTTTCACTTGTGCCTCAAATGAAAGTAATGACTGGGCCCCTGCATCACACTAAAGACTGAGACTACAGGAACACCAGGAAGAAAACTCCAGAGCTTTGGTCACCCTGGCTGGGCTCAAAAAGTGTATTTGTTTTCTAGGAATTAGGAATAGTGCTGAGCCATCCAAATAAACACTAAATAGGTACACTGTTGAGCAATGTGATGAAAAAGAAAATGTCACATAGGTAGCAGATCCCAGCTTGGAAGCTGATCCTAGTACTTCCCTGTTGTATCTCCAGATGTGTCAAATAGTTATATTTGGGATTGTCCATAAAGTAGAATTACAATTTTGGCTTTATATAATTTAACCCTATTAACAGTATTAATACTGTACTTGTAATCTCATGTTCCTAGGATTGGTCACACATGCTAGCTGTGCTGAGTTCTCATTTCACTTTTGAAATGCGAGCCTCTCTGAACTGCAACACCTGGGTCAAGATTGGCGAGCTGATTGGACCTAGAAGGCAAACCTTGTTTTCCTAGTGGCAGAATGAAGCTGATCACAGAGAGAAGGACAGATCCAGTCCCAGTTAGGTTTGCACATAGGCTCAATTGCATGTATGAGTGTGAGGAAAGGTGGTAAACAGCTGAAAGCACAAACAGGACTGTAGTGGTCATCAAATGTGCAGCGAGGAGGAACACAAAGTAAAAACAAAACATCTTGTTCATTCTTGGCCTTGAAGTACCTACACCAACTCCACACCAGCCACAAAGTGAACAAAAATACTAGAAGCTTTTTTTCCCCCAAATGGCTGTTGAATTTATTTGCTTGATCAATAATAGTCTTGGCAAAAATTAGTTAACCAATGTTGAGACATTTGTAATAATAATTTCAGAAATCCATGACACCCTGATAGAAATTAGAATTTACACAAACAAAACTGTCAATATTGCCAGCAAATATAAAATGAATATAATATGTCTGACAGGACAGCAAGAAGGCGTTTATACATTTATATTTGACACCTGACCATATTTTCAGTCACCATAATATCTTCTCTCCAGATTTAAAAAAATAGTATGCTGATTTCTATAACAAAGCTTTTTCGTACAAAAATGAAATAATGGCCAACAAGTCACAACAGTGCAATAGGTAGAGGATAAAAAAAAAAACTGCATCAAACAGGTGCTGAAAATAAATACTAACTAGGAGAAGAATAGAGCCCTCAGGTGGGATTTGACTTCATCACCTTATTGTGTGGGGCCCAGCAGGGGGATTATTTTCAGAGCCACAGGGTGCCACTCACCTGACAAAGGGCCGCCAAATCAAGCTGCCTAAGAGCTTAGTCTCTCGAGAAGCCTTGGGGCAGCCATCTTGATCTGATGGACCAGAAAGGCAGGATGAATCACAGATATAATTACAAGGAGTCATTTTTCTTATTCTCAATCTTGCTAATTATTTGGGAATTCCTTGGTAGGTTCACTGAGATGATATGAATAATTTAAAACTTGTTTAAGAACAGATATATGGCTTATTCAGGCAAAGAGACAGGTACATTCTTGCCCAAGCAAGCAACTGAAGTCATTTGTGGATGTTTTAGGTCAGGGTGAAGATCTTCAACCCACCCCAGTATTTTCAGCCTTTGCTGATCCCTGGCAGTGAAAAATAGGGGCCTGCACTGTTGAGGTCGGCAGCAGGCTCCATGGGCAGCCTCTGTGCAACCAAACTAGGCCATTCTGGTGACTCAGGCTGATATACCATAGTTCAGAACTGTAAAAGGAAAGGGTGACAGGGCAGGGAAAGGGAATACCCAGCGAGAGCCATTTTGGCCAGTCAGAAAATATGAGGCAGCTCCCCACTGAACAATCTGCACCTAGGAGGTGTAAAAGGCACAAGCAAGAGTAGCCAGAGATCCTGCAGGGTGCAGGAGCTCACAGAGGTCCTGCAGGGTGGTAAGACAATGGGAATCCACAAGGCAGGCGCAGCAGTGACCTGGTTTGGTTACCTCCCACCCCTTGAGAAAGAAATCCTGATTCTGCTGTGATTGAAAAAAAAAAAAAGCAAAGACAGAGATTTTTGGTTTAAAAAGAAGCCACTCAAGGGTTAAAAGTTATTTTAACAAGGAAAATTAACTCTCAAGCTGACACTATCTGGAAAACTCATGTGTCCCCTACAAGCCCACAGAACCTCCAGAACCTGAGCCTGACAAGGAGAAGTCAGATGTGTGAAAGAAGTCTCTGAGAAGAACCTTTACAGAATGTACAGCAGGAGAGCCGCGTGGACTCTTGGGATTACAGTAAAACGCACAGGGCCTTACAGTCTGAGGGTTTATGGCTGTCCCACAGGCTGCTCAGATGGGCGTCTCCTTTCTGTCTTTGCTGGGTGAGGGCTTTGCCTGCTCCTTGCCCACCTTTGGCTGCTCTTTAACTGCTTTCACCTCGAGGATACCATCCTGTGGCAGCATGCCCACGCCACCTCGCCTCTCAGGTTCCTCGTCGTCCTGCATTTGTTGCTCAGACTTGGCTCGCTGCATCTGGAGCAGCCGGAGCTGCACTCGCAGCTCGATGATAGCCTCACGCTCCAAGTGAACAGCTTGGTTCAAGTGATTGTTCTTTATCTTGAGGAATGATAGAAAGAGCAGTTACCACTTAAGCAAGGAGGTCAGAGGATGATGACTCAGGGAAGGATCCTACAGAGGAATCTAGTTCTGTTTTAGTCAGCCTAGCTTGTGAAATAGAAGACATGAACACAAACAGAATATGCAAATGAGCTGCATCAGTGTACCTGACTATGGGTAAGAATATAAACTATACTCAGAGTTATCTGGAAAACAATGTATGAACCAAAAACAATTACTTTAATAAATATTCTAGGGATTTCAAATAATAAATATTCTAGTGTTTGAAATCCCTTTTTAAGAAACTGGCTTCTGAAAAGCCATTAAGGAGAATATAAAGGTATTTTTAGTAGCAATTTAGAGAGGGAGAAATAAGAACAAAGCCTAGATTTCTCTTAAGAACAAAATCTTATTAAATGTGAAATGTGCCAATCAATACATAGAAAACTATAACCAATTATCTTCTAAATTATTTATACACATTCAGCAAAGCTTGAGTAATGCAAAAGTTACCAATCCCCAGCAGCCTCCATTTCTGTGCCACACCGTCCACCATTCAGCACTGTCCATGCACTCTGACTAAATGAGGCTATGTGCTACTGGGTAAACACACAAGTGCTGAGTTCCATTTGTGTTCCTCCCCTTTTAACTTCATTTGTGCTCCTCCTCTTTAGTTCCTTCCCCTTCCTACTAAGAAAAGGGCAAACTTAGAGCAGCTACTTAGGACCTCAAGTGGAAAAAGCCTGTGTGGAAGATGACAGGCTTGGAGTGTCTAACAAACTACTACACTAATCTTGTTATTATATCAGCCCAACCTTTACCTACACTCCAAGTACTCTAATTCTTGATTTTGTTTTCCTTAGGATTATAATATGCTCTGTAAAGCATAATTAAAGCAAATTAAGATGCCAGTGTGATGCCTTCTAAAACACAGAGACCCAGCAACCCACAAGTTACCCTTGCACACACTTCCCCACAACACATTTCTACTGTGGAGAGTACCTCAACTCTGGGACCCAGGGGTAAACCTCTCTACTCTGAAGCCAGTCTGCAAATAGGACTTCAGGGATAGAGTTTAACGTGTAATTCTAGTTCTTATTCCAGTATAGCTCTACTTTGCTCCAGTAACTATATAAACTTAAATAGGGAAGCAAAGCTGCCTGTTTCCTTTTCATGAAGAAAATGTATTTTCCCCTCATCCCAAGGGTAAAACATCTGGAATTCTCTTGCCTTCTTATATGATGTCCTAGTTTCCTAGGGCTTTATATCTTACTGCTTTATGGGTTAAAAGGACAAAATATTGGCCTTTACTTCACCCATAGCAGACTTTCCTTCCACTAGGATTTTTTTTCTGAGAATCTTCTCTGGAAGTAAACACTAGATCATGTAAAAGTGCTTAAAACGGTGGCTGGTTAAGACTTGCCTTTCCAAAGGTTTAGAAGAAAAAGATCTGTGTGGCACACTAAAGTCAGGAAAGGCCACCAACCTTCAGACAGCCTGAGAACACACGTCATGTCATCTGCTCAGCAGTCTCAGGTGAGCCATGCCCCTAAATTCTTCTCTACCAGCCTCTCAGCTAGTAACCAAGAAAACTCCTCCAAGGGGAAACAGGGTCTCAACAGCATTTTAGAAATTTCTATGATGTCTGGCTATCTTCCACAAACTCACTTCCAGCTCTTCATTCTGTCTCTGCAAGTCTTCCAGAATGATCTGCAGCTCCTCCTCATCCTCACTCTCACTCTCACTCTCGGAGGAGTACTCCTCGGTTTCACTTCGGCCGTGCTGCTGGCGACTGTGAGGGAGATGAAGGGATTTTTACGTTCAAGACTGACCAGTGTCCATGAATTTACCTAATACAATGCCTTCCTAACATGTGACAAAGAAGAAACTTAATTTTGAAGCCCAATTTTTACACAGGCAACTCAGAGCCAAAACCATTATATTTATATTTAAGTTAAGCATTGTTGAAAACTTTAAAACTCAAGGCTTGGCTGGGAAGGTGGCTTAGTGGTAGAGTACATGCATGAAGCCCTGGGTTCGATTCCTCAGCACCACATAAGCAGAAAAAGCCAGAAGTGGCACTGTGGCTCAAGTGGTAGAGTGCTAGCTTTGAGCTGAAGAGCTGAGGGACAGCGCCTAGGCCCAAACCAACCAAAAAAACCACCACCAACAACAACAAACCCTCAAAGCTTTCCTTTACCTCTGTATCTCAGCAATCTCAGCTCTGAGGCGTTCAATCTCTTCCTTTTCTGAGGCAATTTGCCGACGCAGAAACTGCTCCATAGCCAAGAGCTCCTCCTGTTCAGTCAGGATCTCATTTTCCTAAAATGATAATCACTAGTGAACATCTTCTGAGATAATAATCTTGTAAAGCCACTGTAGTTTCGCAAATGTTCCCCTGAATTCTTCAGTCCCACTTACTAAACGAATTACATACTGCCCAACCAAAAAAGTTAGTTTCCTCAGTGTCAAGAAAAGGCTTCTTCTTCCAGCCCAGGCAGGAAAGTCCATGAGACTCTTATCTCCAATAAACCACTAGAAAAGAAGTGGTGCTGTGGCTCAAGTGGTAGCGTGCTCACCTTGAGCTAAAGAGCTGAGGGACGATGCCCCAGGCCCAGAGTTCAAGCCCCATGACCGACAAAAAAAGAAAAGGCTTCTTTGAGAAAAGCTATACTAAGTTATTTTGAGAAAAAACAAAACTACACTTTCAGCAATAAAAAGTCCCGTGATGCTGGGCGCTGGTGGCTCATGCCTGTAATCCTATCTACTCAGGAGGCTGAGATATGAAAATCGAGGTTAAAAGCCAGCCCGGGCAGGAAAGTCCGTGGACTCTTATCTCCAATAAACCACTAGAAAACCGGAAGTGGTGCTGTGGCTCAAACGGTAGAGTGCTCACCTTGAGCTAAAGGACAAAGGACAGTGCCCAAGCCCAGAGTTCAAGCCCCATGACCGGCCAACAAAAAAATAAGTCCCATGAGGGTTCCAACACAGAACAAACCCAGAGTTAAGCGATGATTAACCCTGCTTTGACTTCCTGTCTCTTAGGCAAGTGATAGTCAATCAGGGACAGTCTTTGACAGTGTCAGTAGAAAAGGAGGACCCAGGAGATTTGTGACTGGTGTCTCAAGTTTAAGGAACAAAGGTTACAGAAATCTTTTCTCTATACCACAAGTCACCATCCTCCTCCACCAAAGTCCCCCAAGATAAAATTAAATATTCTGCTTTAACAAAGTATCCATTTCTAGGGGCTGGGAAGGTGGCTCAGTGGTAGAGCGCTTGCCTTGCATGCCTGAGGCCATGGGTTCGATTCCTCAGCACCACATAAGAAAAAAGCCGGAAGTGGCGCTGTGGCTCAAGTGGTACAGCGCTAGCCTTGAGCTGAAGAGCTGAGGGACAGCACCCAGGCCCAGAGTTCAGGTCCCACGACTAGACCAAAACAAAAAACAAAAAAAAAAAAACAACAAAGTATCCATTTCTAGTCACCAGTCTAAAGAATGGGGGGAAAAAAATCACTATCTGCACAAGATCCAGACAGTTTCTCTAACCTACAGAAAAGAAGCAGACAAAACCTGGGGAGCAACCAAACCTGTGGCAACTGAAACTTGGCTAAAGAAAAAAAGGGACAAAAATCTTCTGTATGTCTTTCAATCAGGTATTATGGGAACAATACATGGTCAATTTGAAAGCCACAAGGACCACATTCCAATGAACACTGGAAAACTCCCAGAGATGAGATCCCCAGTGCTTCCTAAGGGTTTGTAGACATGCAGGTATTCTTCCTTTGCCTCAGCATATCTGTAAAGCTAACGTTCCAAGAAATACTAGGTTAGTAAACCCTGGAAAGACACAATCTGAAACTCTCTTCTCAGAGGATGTTAAATCCCTTCTAGGCAAAACAATGTACTTTTCACAAGTGCCAAAAATAAATAAAAATAAGTTGAAACCCACAGTGCTTTAGTGAGCCACATACAGAAGTTTCTAGAAGTCGAAACAGACTGCTGTCAAAGCCTAGAACTTCATTCCTTCCAGTTTTAACTCTGGGAATTCCCAGAACTGAGGAAGGCTAACTTGAGAAATTCAGAAAGGAGATGAGCTCAACTTCAGCTCTATGCCTAGAATACAGAAGGCTCTCAAAAGATATTTATTCCATCAGGGAAAGAATAAGACAACCTGCCTCCAACAATTTCACCGCAAAGAACATAACCAAAATGTCTAAAGTATTATTAGCAAAAACTGTCAAGTTTTGAGAAATTAGAAATGTGCCTAAATTATTTATTGAAATCATTGATATAGAACAATTTCCATTGACCTATGAGTCAGGGAAAATATTTATAGAATTAGATGTAGATTAATGAGATAAATTAAGTACTTAGAACAAAGCCTCCTTAGGGAAAACTGCTCAACAGCTTCTTTCTCCATGGCTTAGGAATCACTTTATATTTTGGTTAAAAGGTTCTGTGACTCAGCTCTATTTTTAAATGACCATTAAGAGACTTGCAAAATAAAGAGTTCAGCCTACCTGGGCAAGGAGAATATTAATCACTTCTTCATTTTCGTTCATTTCTTCTTTGGAAACATCCTCTTTTGAAAGACTGGCTATCTCCTGTGCAATCTTGGTTTCACACTCCTATGAAGAAACAGGAATGAAGGAGAGTTTAGAGCTTACATGTAATATACACTCAATAGTTTCACACACTATAAAGCTACAAGTTTCCTAGAACTGAAAACAAGTCAGGTGGGCCATCAAGATAGACAAGCTAACTGGGCTTGGAGAGTAACAGCAGTTTGTGATGGTACTATGAATTTGTTTGCTTCTGGTTAACATGTTTACATTTCTGGAAGCTTTCAACAAAAGCTACCATATTTGATACTTTGTTTGGAGCAGTGGGGATATCAATTCTAAGTTCATTATTTAGTTTTGACAAATGTAGTTAACTACTACCACCAACATGCTATGGAAAATCCCATCACCTCAGAGTCCCCCTTGGGTTCCTCTATCATCTGCTGGCCTCTGGCAACCATCAATCTGCTTTGCATTGCTACAATTTTTCCCTCTCTCAAGTTTCTATAAACAGAATCAATTAGTAATTGTTCTCTGGATTCTTGGCACAGTGTTTTAAGATGCAGCTATCTCTTGTGTATGTATCAGTAGTTTCTGAATGATGTATCATAGTTTGAATGTACTACATTTTATCAATTCTGCAGCTAAAGAACTTTTAGATTGTAACAACTTTCAGCTATTATAACTAGAGTTGATATAAGTATTTCTTTTAGTATTTTGTACATTGTACAGATCTTATAAATAATAGAACTGCAAGATCATATGATAACTAACTTTATACTTAATTTTATATTTAACTTTATAGGAAAATGACAAATTGATATTGTGGCTTTTCTTATTTTCAGTCTGTTACTATGAATTAACTAGAATTTTTGAGATTTAAACAAATTATCAAGAATACTATATATTTGGTTGGGCATGATTCTAGACCCAAGCCTAAAATCCTAGCACCTTGGGAGGTAGAGACTGGAGGATTAGACCAAAAGTCTGGGAGAATACATCTTGACAGGTCAGTGGATATAATGGCATACGCTTTTCATCCTAGCAACACAAAGAAGCACAAACAGGAGAATCACAGACCACACTGGCCTGGGTATAAAGTAAGACCCTAGCATAATAGTATTTCTGCTTTTAGTCATTTATCCCTCAAAGGGAGAATCATGATGAAATTGGGGGGGGACGGGGGGGGGCGGCTGGACATTTAGCTCAGTGGAAAACTACATGCCTAGCATGCACAAAGTCCAGGGAGGGAAGAGGGGAGAAAGGGGGGAGGAGAGAGTGAATAAAGAAAGAGTTGGAAACAGAAGAAAGGGTGAGGGAAATGGAAGAAAAGAGGAAAGAAAGGAGAGAACAAAAGAAGGAAGGAAGGGGGCTAGGAAGGTGGCTGATATAGTGATTGCCTTGCATGCATGAGGCCCTGGGTTCGATTCCTCAGCACCTCATAAGCAGAAAAAGCCAGAAGTGGTGCTGTGTCTCAAGTGGTCCAGCACTAGCCTTGAGCTGAAGAGCTGAGAGGCTGAGAGACAGCGCCCAGAGTTCACACCTCACAACTGACAAAAAAA